GAAAAAAAAATAATTGAAATTTCCCCCCCCCCCCCCACCGAAAAAAGGACAGTGTACACCCATAGTGACAATGAAGAAAGATAAAATTGAATAAAAAGTCAATCGCGCAACAGGGTGAATTAAAAAAAAAAAATTGTAGAAAATTTCGCGTTCCCGTAGCGAGGGTGTAAAAGTTTGCCCGTTTTTTTCTTTATCTTTCGTTTCTTTATTTACGTAACTTTTTTGCACTTTCTTTCGGAAACGAGCCAAGATAACTTGTGTCCGTATGATTAACGACAGGAACAGCAGCGCAGTGTTGTGTGTAAATATAATAATTAATAATGTAATATAATTAATAATATAAATGTGGAGACGTACCAAACAGGGTAAAGAGAGCGTCAGGCGTGACCATCTACACAGAGAACAGACAGAGTCCAGTCAGTAGTCAGCGAGTATATAGGATTTTCAATGTATGGTATAGCGCGCACAAGATTCGCGCGTCGAATGTTTTTCTTTTTCTCTATTTAATTTTTATTCCATCGAACGAAGTTCACGACGCCGGACATCGTCACGATCGATCGTGCACTAGTCGGCGGACGAGCGATCGGCGTTCGATGATAACGGACGTGATGATTGTGAAAATCACAATTCGAGAACAAAAGGAACAAAAAAAGGAATTCCGGAACAACAAAGTCGAGTAATTTAATTTTCATTTGCCAACCGAACGACAAAAAGACAGCGTTGAAGTGGAGAATAGGGGTTGGGGTTGTACAGGGTTCAAAAGGTAAAAGGATTGCACTTGTCAAAGACTAAGGACTCCCGTGCAAATAAAAAAAAAAAAAGATCGTATGTCGATACCGTCAACATTATCAAAAGAGAACAAAGAAAGTTTTCACGGGACACGCCTAATCGAGTCAAAACGGCGCGTGATACTTAAAAAGATGATCGAAACGTTAATTGCGGGGTTAAAAGGAAGTTGAGATTAAATAAAAGCAAAGAAATATTCAAAATGATCAAAACAAAAAGCAGAACACACTCGGTAATCGCGACGATGCCAACAGCCAATGAGATTTCACGTTCGAGGAATAATTTTTGTTTTCATAGCGCGAAGGTTTGAGACTCAATGAGAAATATATACAGGCCGTTCGTTATGAAACGCACTGTAGTAACACCGTTGCATTCCTTGTCAAATTCTAAGGAATACGTGTATTTTCATTTTTTATTTCGTATATCAAAATTTCGAGATAATCAAGGTTGAAGTTGCTGTAATTCGACCAATCAGAACGCGTTTAAACGGAGCGTAGATGACGTCGCGAGCCAGCCCGCAAGGCCTGCTTACACTGGGCCAATAACACTAAGAGTATCGTCGTAGTGTCCTTGTTTATCTGCGTGTAATTGAGTAAGATACAATCGTTTGCTGTAACGTCAGTGAATTTCAGAAGGTACCCTTTATTTCTTATAATGTCTATTGCTTTAATCTGACAAGACAGTTGTACCAACGTATAACATTTCGAGTGGTCCTGAAAAGGACCGATTTTAATATACGCATGACCGAGCTTGAATATCGACATGCTAATCTGCAACAATTACATACATTTTCTATGATAACAGTAGTAAGTCTACTGCGGTTGAATAACTTGTTTACAACTTACAACATATTTCGCTTCACATTTCGGAGACAGTCAGTTCGGTTTATGTTGTGTCGACCGCAAGATCGCATTATGAGTAATTATTGTGTGAGATAATATTACGACATGTATTGCGTGTTAGCCCAATGTAATGGCAGCCAAACACAAGCAGCGCAAGAATATGTAATTAGGTATCCTGATAGGCGACGTCCTGATAAAAATGTTACGTACTCTACAATATTTAGTGTTTCAGAATAATCATTATCATAGAAAATGTATCTAATTGTTGCAGATTAGCATTTCGAGATCCAAGCCCGGTCATGCGTATATCAAAATCGGTCCTTTTCTGGACAACTGAAAATGTAATACGTTGGTAGAGCTATCTTGTCAAATTAAAGGAATAGACATTATAAGGAATACAGGGTACTTTCCGAAATTCAGTAACGTTACAGCGAGCGATTGTATCTCACTCAATTAATGCAGATAAACAGGGACCTATTGTGTTATTGGTCTAGTGTAAGCAGACCTTACGAGCTAACTCGCGACGTCATCTACGCTCCGTTTAAACGCGTTCTGATTGGTCGCATTACAGCAACTTCAACCTTGATTATCTCGAAATTTTGATATATGAAATAAATAATGAAAATACACGTATTCCTTAGAATTTGACAAGGAATGCAACAGTGTTACTACAGTGCGTTTCATAACGAACACCCTGTATATTATATATCTCTGGACATTCAGTTAACTTTATACTAGGCACTGCACACTTAGCACTGGCACATCACTCCTGTCGTCGCCGCTGATTCCTTTCAGAAAGTTGATCTCCAGTTCGTTTTCTATAATTGGGCTGCTGTTGCTAATGTTGTTGCTCCTGCTGCTGATATTGTTGTTGATTCCCCTTCTCAGAGGTGAATCTCACATGCCCGTTGATGATGTTATATCTTCCCTCGGGGAAAACCATCACTGCTTCCTCGTTATCAGCGATCTCCACTACGCTTAATACGAGAGCCCGATCAGACCTCTTCTCGAATGGCAAGGTCTTTCAAAATTGGGGTACCCACAACCCCGGCCAAATCTCGTATTCATCCTCTGTTTCAGCAAGTGTGTGCTAGGATGTCATGATGATCTTTTCTTTGGCAGTCAACTGAGTATAGTGACTGAGTGAAGAGGACTCGTGCTTAAATACTTTTAGAGGCCTTAGCTTCCTCTAGGAGTAGCGGGGCAGGGTCTATTCCCCTGTAGTCTTCTTCGGCTTCTATGATTGACGCATTTGTACTTGCTTCCGGCCGTTATTTCCATTTTGGTTTTTTGTATCTCCCGTCAGGAGAGGCACTTCGTTTTTTTGCTCTGCGACGACTAGTACCCTCCTGTCGAGGTTGTTTTGATGATTCTTGTTTAAATGTTGATGGTTACGGGAATAAGTCCGACAATGTCAATTCTGCTTGTGATGAGAATAGTTCTTCGACTGGGGGTAACGGTTAGTGGTTGTGGAAATAGTTCCGGAATTTGTTTAAACAATAATTGTAGTTCTTCCTCCAAACATTCTGCGAAGAGGAATTTGGCATTTGTTCTTCTTGTTGAGACCATTGTGATGAAGGTGATAAAGAGGGTCCTGGAGCTGGCGTTCCTGAGACTGATATGTTTGTGGTAGAGGTGGTAGGGGTGGTTGTATTCTGGAAATCGGTGATAGTTAAAAACTTTCTGGAGCCAGTCGCGTCTTGTCTATCTCCAAATGGTTAGTCCAAACTCCATTTTTTTCAATCATTATTGTTCTTCCGCGTAAAAAGATATATCGTCCTTCAGGGAATATAAGTTCGGCTCCCTTTGCCAATCTTTCTGATTTTAATAGAAAGAGGCCTCTATTATACAGATCTTCTCTCCCATAGTTGTTCCAAAAATGTGACTCCCACATTCCTGGGTATAATTCAAAATAATCTGCTGTCATTTGTAGAGTTGGTGGTAAGCATCTAATAATAATTATTATTATTATCAGACTCTACATTCCCACCTTAGGTTTAAAGAAGTTAATTTTGCGAAGGATGAGTAAAAAAGGGACTCATTAATACAGTATAAAACATGTTTTTATTATTGTTATTATTATACAACTTATTGTTATTATTACTACTATTACTAGACTTACATAGGTATATTTTTTACCGCTTCCTCGATGTTTAATAAATTTTCTAACTCCTCCTCTACCTCCGGAGACATTAGAAGCATGTCACTTTCAGGGTATAGAGGAAACGGTGGCGACGCCGGTTCCGTTTTTACTACTGCCTCATCGTCATATATTGTTATGACCGGCGACTGGAAAATTTTATCTTGCAGCACCGTAAGTTGGGCGCATACAGTATCCAGCTTCTGGCGCATAATAGTAAGGGCGTCCTGATTGCAGGATTTTTTTACTATAAACAGGAATAATAAGTATTAAATGAAATTATTGTTAATAAAAAATACAATATAGTTATAGAATGTACCATTTTTGGTACTGATGGTGATGATGATAATTGTGTGATGGTGGCGGTGATGGTGGTGACGAGAACGGGGAAGCTGGTGATGGTGATGGTGCCGATACTAATGGCGATGCCGGTTCCTCATGAACGAGGGCTGTTGTCCTAATATTGACACCTGATTTTGTTTCAATAGCTATGAATAAATTTATGACGTTAGTACGAATTTTATTAGACAGAGAAATAGAAGTACACTAGCTACCACTTGAGCACCACTTACCACGGCTTCTGATCACTCGCACTCGCCTATCGTTATCTTCACCACGAATTTTCAATACGTCGTAGCATAAGGAAATCGTCCCCTGGTGTTCCATGCACCCCTTTTTGTACCATTGAACAATTTTTGGTATCTTCGCGTTTTCGAAAATCCTGCGTAACACCCTCGAATCTCGACCAGGATCGTTTGGCCTATGGAACTCCTGGCACATCAACTCCCTGAGGAGAGGTGTTACCGGATGGTAACGTAAAATTTTTTTTAAATCTTGCTCCATTGCAGCCACTCTGCGGTGCTTGTAACTAGTACTGAAGTGCTGTACCATCTCTATCCACTATTTATAAAAAGGATGAACTACCCCTACCACACAGTGGTCAAAAAATGTGACCATCCCTTCCACAGACCTAAAAGTCTTTTCCTTATTATTGCACAATGGGGTGATGCAATAGCTCCTAGGCTTTTGGGGGTGGTACAGTTTTAGATAACTTGCCGGTTGCTGATGAACGAGGGCTGTTGTCTTAATATTGACAGGTGATTTTACTTCAATACCTATGAATAAATTTATGACGTTAGTACGAATTTTATTAGATAGAGAAGTAGAAGTACACTAGTTACCACTTGAGCACCACTTACCACGGCTTCTGATCACCCGCACTCGATTATCTTTATCTTCACCACGAATTTTTAATACATCGTGGCATAACATAATCGTCCCTTGGTCATCCATGCAGCCCTTCTTAAACCATTGGTAAATTTTTACAATTTTCGCATTCTGTTACAATCCGACTCGGTGATCGTAGATCAACAAATTTATATTTGTTGTGGGTTTCAGGAAGTATTGGTGGGTTTCTTCACTAAAGAAACCGTCGTTCAGATTGTGCACAGAATATATGTATTTCACGATAGACAGAGGTGTCGTATACAAAGTCCAGACTACTAATAACTTTTTCTTAGGGAAGGTTCGTCCTTTTATATTAATAGAAGTGGTGTAGGGTAGGGGTCGAAAGGCGGGAAAGCCTAGTTTGGGAGTAACGGGACTCCAAAATGGAAATTGGCA